AAAGATTTTATTGGCTGCTTCGCATCCAATAACTATTAAAAATATAATTGATAAAACAATAAAAAATGTTTAAAAAACTGTTTAACCCGTTTTTTTTTACCATCCCTAGCCCAAACCCTAATTTAAAGACAATATATACAGTAGCGTATTTATTTAAGGAAGCCTACCCAAAAAATAATAAATGTCGAAATATTTATTTATTTGGTTAAAAACTAAACGATATAAACGATTATACAATAGTATTATTAAAGTTTTCCGTAAATTATAAAACTTGTAAACAATATGCACGTTATTAAACTAGAAATTATTAGATAATGACTCTGGTATTTGTATTGTCGATTATATCAGGGACAATGCCAACTTTATCCCATTTTAAAACATCAAGATCATATTGTTCTAAAGGTCTTTCTTCACCTTTACTATTAATCCTTGTACCTTTAAATAATGAAGTTTCCGTTGATAAATCACTTTCCACTAGAGCAACATATTTTATGAAATTACAAGTTCTACGAAATGATGTCTGAGCTTGTTCAGCAGAAGGAAACCTCTATAATCAAAGAAATAAACGTAAGTGGAATTAGTAAAAAATGATTAAACTATTTTAAATTTAAATATTATATCTCAATAATTATCAAATCAACTAGAATATTTTTAAAGTTGAATATTTAAGAATTTTATAGCTATGAAATTTTAAAATATACAAACTTGTTTGAGATATTTGAATTTTAAATTTAAAGACTTGGAAAAAAAATTGTCCCCATTTCTATTGACTCCCCCACGTATATATACACACATATATATATTTATCAAAGACAAAAAAAAAATTATAATTACCTGCCAACCGTGAGGCATATCATCATAAACTTCCAATATAACACTAGTTGGTTTTTGAAATGGAGATTTATCAAAGTTTGAAGTAGAATATTGTGGAATCCTAAATTTATGTGGTTGTGTTGCTTTATGACCAAAAAGTACGACTTCATTATGTACCCTTTCAATTTCTCCTACTTGCTATTTAAAAAACACAAAATTTAGTTATAAATTAAAATTATTTTTAAGACTAAAAGAAAATTACCAATAACATAGGAGGCATGCCACCCAAACTTTCAGCCAATAACGGGCTAAAAAAAAAAAAAGGATTTATATATAAATATAAATATAAAATTCTGACAATAAAATATATATATATGTTTTAAAATAAATTCACCTGACATAAGGAATAGCCAAAGCTTCATTATTACAATATATTTGAATCTGTTCATCTCGTTGAAAAGATTCATCACCAACTATTGAAGGTCTTTTTTTTTTAATTTGATCAGCAAGTTTTTGAGAATCTTGTTGATATTGAACCCATGCAGGAGATGAAACTCGAGGTTTCGGCCTATACATTGCGATCGGACAAAGCATGTCAAGGCCTACAAGATTTGGATCTAATGAAGACGGCATGCTATGTGTAAGGTCAACCCAAGGTGACTACAATAAAATAAAATAAAATAGTAAAAAATAGGTAGCAAAAAAAAATAGATAAAAAAATGGATAGTAAAAAAAAAAGAAAATAAAATATAAAATAATGACGAT